ATCCATTGAATTAAGGTTTAATAACTCAAACTTGAGGTGTGGTATCCGAGCGACCTGACGTATTGGCGAATTTGCATGAGTCGACGTATTGGTAGAATAGAAGCGGGCTCGTATGGTAGCCGACAGTTCCTCCCGTGCCTCTCTTCTTCCGGCGGATATTTCGTCAGGTCGGTTGCTTTTAGTGTTGGTCACTGCCTTGTTTGTTGTGTTTCGCTCCCACCACACGTTTGTTCGTGCTGTCTTTGATTTTCATGCTTCAGATCATTAGCATCCGTAACTTTTTTCAGCTTCCGGTGTCGGTCCTGGAATTGTGGAGATGTATTATGTTAGTTGCTCGCAGCCATTTGCTCTCCAGGACCGTTGGGCATCCGCGAATTTTGATGGGTGCCGGGAGGAACTGGCAAGCGCGATGGACGACATTGCATGCGCTGCAGCGGCCAGTCGCCTCCTCGAGCGGTAAGCAGTCACGAGTTACGTGTTGAGCTAAGGCACCAAATTGCCTCCCTGTTGCTCTCTGTGTCGCCAGAGCGATTAGCTTGTTAGCAGTAGTGGACTGTGAGAGTAGCGTGTGAATGGCACGAAGATACAGGGCTAGCCAATTGCACAGAAGAGGCAGGCCCCGTAAGACGGGTCTTGCAACCTTCGCTAGCTGCCTGCATCGTGGCGGATGCACGGGGGACTGGGAAGCATGCGTTGCTGGATCTGTTCCGTATCAGTAATCGAGCTAATGGCAAGCACAGCATATGCCCCTATTTCCTCTTCTTTCGCTGCTGGCATTTTCTCGGTTTTTGGGTCTCAAGCTGAGTATTTGTCAAATTCTGTCACATCTCGTTACTGCTACTTTTTGACAGTCTGAATGCCACAGTGCTAAATTTTTGCAGATTTTTGCGGGATAAGAAAAGTTGGCTCGCGAGAGTCTTACCTGTCTTTAGGTGCTACGAGGGGTCACGGCGTAGAAGATTTCTTCCCAACGATTTTTTCATTTTTGTGAATTTGAAATGTTTTGACACTTTTTCACTACCTATAATAATCTCTTTTATGAATTTTAGGAAAGAAACATTCCGACGCCTGAATGCATCCAGTACGAGATGTGGATGCATGATGTGAATGCATATTTCAGCGCGAGGGCGATGTGAATGCATATTTCAGCGCGATATCGTCCTCACGTAGTTTTTTGTACGTTTGAATTCAGCTTCTTGTTTTGATGGGAAAAAGTCAATTTTCCTTTGGATAGAGTCAAAGTCCTGTATGCAGTTAAGTTTGGGGCTTCTAATGGTGCACATAGTTTGCAGCAAAGGCGCATCCTTACGTAACTTACATCGAAGGCGCATCCTTAGCCTGGAAATGTCAATCCGTTTTCCGCTCTTTTTCGTAAATTCTTTCAACCAATTTTGTGTTTTCGGGCCGGACAGAACCCATTTTACTTCAGTTTTTCTTTTTTTTTTTGGCATTCCTACGTGATGCAGTCACTTGCTGCTATCCTGTCGACCTTGGACCTTTGTTAAAGCTAATTTTGTGTGAACGAACAAATACCTTACCCAAGGTTCATTTCTTTCAAGTGGATTTGCTTCTGTGCAATATCTCATTGATTTCATTTGACCTACTTTTCACTGTAGTCGGCAACAGTATTTCAGACAGAATTCATTCTTATGCGCATCTTGCATATTTATGCAAATGCAAAAACGCGTACCGTTAGAAGGTTGCCTGCGTACGTATGTGTTCGGAGGCGAGTGAACTTTTTCACTCACTTTCAACCCAGCAACCAGAAAAGCCAGAAAGCTGAAATTGTAGGAGCGTATTATCTCTATGTGCTACTCTCCCTGTTTAAAATCAGCCTTCACGTGCTGTCTAAATTCAGTCTCGGAGGTTAAATTCTCTGCACGTGGACATGACAAATGCTCAGTTCTATCTCAGCCTCAAAAGCAAGTATATTTTGTGTTGATTTCGTCATCCTTCTTGCTAGATATCCTGTTCAACTTTCATTTTCAATGAACGTTCATTGATAACAAGTTTTTCACGTCCCTTTAAAATTTACGACCATCATGCATGGTGGAGGTTAAGACTGCACACTACTCCATAATACAGTACTGACGTCCCAGCCGGCTCTTCTTTGCCCTTACATGCACGGAAGGATCGAAGCACAGCCGGTATGTGTGCACACGTGAAAATGTAGCAACAAAATTTCACCCACACTGTTAACGATCTAATTTCTTCAAGTTTTGTGCAAAAATGCATGATCGCACTGGAGTCCTGTCGTGCGTTGCTGTCTGGGTTTGCACTTGGGCATACTTCCATTCATTATCTTTTCCCTTTCGTTCGGGAATAGCGGTCGGTTACAAATCGTTAATTTATCTGCTGCTTATCAGAGTAGTGACCTTGAAACTGAGAAATATTTCTGAAAAGGCTTCATTTACCTTTTTCAGAGTTGGTGGAGCTTCAGCTAGTATTCGAGCACAAGCGTGATATCGCCGTACAGAAAAAGTAACGGAGCAGACGGCGATATGAAGGGTACCGATGAATCGGCCAGAGACAACAGGGATAACGATATTGTTGTTTGTTAAAATTTTAATGTAAATATTGATTTTTTATCATCTTTATTTCTCGCTCATCTGTCGACGTATATTTTTTGGTATATAATTTTTGATGGATAGTTTTTTCAGTATAGTTTTCTTTGAATTATCTTTTGATATAATTTTTTAGTATACTTTTATTTGAATTACCTTTTGATGTATAATTTTTTTAGTATAGTTCTCTTCCCTTGAATTAGGTTTTTTTTTTTTTATTTTAATGTAAGTTTTTTTTTTTTTTTTTCTTCATATCTACCCGTTTATCTTTGCTCGTTTGTCAATGCATATAGTGTTTGATTGTTTATCTTCTATTTTGAATTATTGTTTTTAATGGGAGTAAACATTTTTCGTTAAACATTCAGATTGGGACTTCTAGAGCTTACTTTTTACTTAAAGCAGTTAACAGAGATCTGTGGCTGTCGCAGTGAGGTAAAACAGTAATAGCATGTCATCAAACCAGTCTAAAATTTGTCGGTCTCAGAATAAGCTTTAATCAGAAATTAAGGAGCAGTACATGATGTTATTGCTTCCCATATAGTTCAAATCGGACCTGGCGAAAAGATTTTCCAGACTCTTGATATTCAAGTCTGACTAGTACTTCTGTTGCCTATCCCAGCCAGTCTGAGTTCTTTTCATGTGCATCTTAAACTAACAGACTGAAGTTTTGGTGTTGGCTTCACTTAAAGTGATCTGTGCAGCGCCAAATGGATCAATGATTTCGAGTCCGTAGCTCACGGCGCTATCCAGGAGTTACAAAGCTAAAACGAAATTTTACGGTGACCGCATATCTCGGCTGTAGCAGCTATCGTAAGAGAATCGTCGCTGATCACAACGGTGGTTCTGGAATTTTCAAATATTCGGGATTTACTCTTCAATTTCGTTGGCTCATTTTATACACGCAACTGCAAAAACGTGCACCAAAAGTGAGAAACCTGTGTACATTGTTGCCTCTTTGGGGTCCTGATTGCTTAGCTCAATAAACCCCGACAAATGTGGGGTGAACTAAGTCAAAAATTTGTCTGGCTGTTGGCAGGTAATAGATAAAAGGCAAGTCCTGTCAGTTCTTGTGGCTTACCGTTAATAACACCTGTAGCAATACGAATAGACAAGCTGAACTACGGCTCAATTGTCAGTATATAGAGGAGAGCACGAGGGCAACCGGTGCGATCGTGCGTTTTGTGCAATTCCGTTTACCGAACGATTACCTGCTAAAGATTTTCATTGCTTTGCACTTTGGCTTGTGCAAAAATAGTTGAAATGTTGTTTGTTTCTTAAGTTGAGAAATTTCCCACTAAAAATTTCACGCACACGAGATAATTTCTCTACCGGAACTTTCACGGGCTGTACGTGGTACGCAGGGATGCGTGAAGGCTGGATCCAAACTTGCGAGGTCGTACGTTTGTAGAGGAAATCACCCTAAAATTTCAGATTCCCAGCTTCCGCGGTCCCAGAGATAATAATTTTCCCTGCCAAAACTTCCACGGGGCCGTAAGTGATACTCGGACGCGCAGGGGGCTGAATAAAAAGTGCAGGATTTTATGTGGACAGAAGAGATTACCACAAAATTTCAGCTTCCTGGCTTGTATGGTTCCCGAGATAATAATTTCCCCGCCATAATTTCCACGGAGCCGTAGTTGACAGCCCAGAGCGTAGGAACGCTGAATTTGAATTTGCGAAGTAGTAGGTGGGCAGGGGTCATTACTCTAAAATTTCAGCTCCCTATTCCATATTCGCCGAGGTAATAATTTATCTACCAAAAGTTCCACGAGGCCGTATATGTTACTCGCGGGTACGAAAGGCTGAATTTAAATTTTCTAGGTAACGCATGGGCAGGGGACATACCCACAAAATCTCAGTTTTCAAGCTTCTGTGGTTCCCGAGACAATAATTTACCCTCCGAGGCTTTCCCGGGCCATAGGCAGTACCCAAGGGCGTGGGAATGCTGAATTTGAATGTGCAACGTCGAGTGTGGGCAGAGGGTCACTGCCTTAAAATTTCAGCGTCGTAAATCCCGTGGTTTCCGAGATAATAATTTACCAACGAAAATTTTTACGGGGCCGTTCGTAATACCCGCGGGCAGGAAACAGCTGAATTTAAGTTGGGCAGAGGATGCACAAAAATTAACAAGTTGTCACCAACAGGCGATTATAGAAATCTGAAGCCGCGTAATTCGGCAAAGCTCTTTTAGAAACGATTCGCGTAATTATGCACGACATATGTATGCTTACTTGTAGCTTTACTAGCATCTGCCACTTGCACATTCTCTTCTGACCTCTCTGGAAACCTTATGTTTCTCTAGCATAGTGTGGACCGCGTACAGTAATAAGAATCAATGCGAAACAATGGCTTACCAACAGACTGTTAAATAATCCTGCATTCGCTCGCACCAATTTTTAAAAAATCATCTCTCGCATTCTTTTTCACTTCATTTAGCTTCAATCCTGGCCCCGGGTAACTATCTTCGAAAACTGATTCATTTAAAGCCCTTCTTACACACTAAGGAATACTTTTTCCGCAGCTCGCTGATATGGGTTAGGTCAAGCCAGAACACCGAAAGACGACTGTATGAGAGTAATTGACAATTAAAATCTTATCTGCCCCTATTTTGCGGATTAATTCAGCAATTTTAATGGCAGACGCTTATGCCATAAAACATTACCGGCGCCTCATCCCGTATACTCCGCATTGATCCGCTCAGTTAATTCTATTAACCTACCCTTACGTTTTTTGTATTCCAGGTTACACGCACAGCGTGCTTCACAACTAAGGACAAATAAATTACAGGTGTTGCACGTCAGTCCGGATTTGGACCCGCACTTTACCAAACCAAAAAAGCTTTTTAGCCTATCCAAAGTCTACGCTTACGCACACGTATGGGGACTATGGCTTCGATTTTTTCTCCATTTGCACAATATAAAGCTGCACAACAAATATTCTTTCATCTATGGGCAGGTTTTAGTTGCACTACACAAGTTCCAAAAAAAGGAACTATCTAGAAAGTTCCTTTCCATCATCAACTACCTTCCAACATAACACCCTACCGTCGGACGTTAACTACGGTATTAACCCACCGCAGACTTGACGAGTCTATAGGCCGAGTCTAGAAGTTCCTCACAGCCTTTGCCCTACTCCGGGTTCTGCCATGGCACACCCCATAGCTTATTGTCCCAGTCGTGCATCACTCTGCATGCGAATCGGCAGCCCGCCTCCCCTCCTTTTTCCGTTTTTATGCGTTTTTGCCGTGCAGCGCTAGAGCGCTGCAACAGGCAGCAAAAACGCAT